TATATATAAAGGAACGAAGTGTTCTAGATACAACTATCTTTTTCTCTACTGTAGCAAAGAATTAACAAAGATAAAACTTCTATCTTAACGCATACACACAAAAACACACGTATACACACAGATATATATTATACGTACGATACGTCATTTACATATATATATATATATCTACGTTATATAATATACATATATATATATCTATTACAATATATCCAATGTTATATGCGTGATAGGCTCGACAAACCATGAATCTCGCGAGCAAGGCTAGATTAGTTAGCAAAGATAGAACCGAAAGAAAAAAAAAAGGAGAAAATAACGTTGTTATCGTACAAAGACGATGTGTTGTCATGTGTTCAAAAACAAAAAAAAGATGATGAAAAACAAAGCAGAAGGGTAACAGGGAGGCGAGATAGGGTTGATTTCATAAACGGTTGCTCAAGGCACTGCCACATCTCCATGATTTTTTGTTTTCTATTCCCCGTAGACCACGGGGGTATTATCCGTACTTATAGTTTCTCTCTCTCGTTAGAGTAACCGTGAATCTATATTTCACCGCGTATTTCGAATATAGAGCGGACTAACAACTGGATTCCGTTATGCCTTTCGTTGAAAAATTTCCGCGCTAAATATTGTACATGTTGTAGCTGTTAAATACCGAGGGGAAAAAAATAACCGAGATCCAAGTACGAAAGATGAGCGCCCCGTATACCCAAGTGAAAATAAGATAAGATATTAAAAGAAGAGAGAAATAATAATAATGAATTAAAAAAAATGTGTCGGCTGTGAGCTTCCAAGCAAATAACAATAATTAAATTATTATAATATTAAAGGTTAAATAATATTCTACCTAATTGTTACGCGAAGGTGGATTTCTTTTACTTGTAAATGTGAAACAAATTTGTTATCTCGTATCTCGCATACCGTAGCTATGATTGTCCATTCGAGAGAGAGAGAGAGAGAGAGAGAGAGAGAAAGATAATTTGTAGCGCCGTCATGTGATTGTCGTGGCGTGTGTTACCTGAGAATTTCAGCGACATTCGAACGTCGTATAGGTACGTAGCTAAATGCGAACGCGACAGACAAGGCCTAGGAGAAGGCATAAAGATAATATCTGAGAGTGAGTTGTTATAACATATGGAGATTAATTTATTGAGAAAAAAAGAAAAGCAAGAGTGCCTTCTATTTGTTTTCGTGATTGTATTGTTGAACATTTGTTGCGTTACGTTCTCCGAGAGCCTCTAATGTTGTTATATACGAAAAAAAGAGATGTTTGAAGAATGTTGTTCCTCTATTTATTTATTGATTTATGGGCACGTGTGATGCTAGTGCGCCCAACTATAGCCCTAGCGAATTCGGAAGTGTGAAAGTATGATGATGCTGCTGTAAGAGCGGGTCCGGCGAATACGAGAGAGTAACTGTGTAACGAGAGAGCTATCGGTTAAAATATAGCAAACGAGTCATGTCACGTCATGTCGATGAAAGAGAAGAGGAGGAATGAATGAAAAAAGTATTGCGAGTGTGTGAATCGCGTGAATGAGTGTCACAAGTAGAGGGGAGAGGAAATAGAGAGAAAGAGAGTGAGAGAGAATGCAGCTTATTATGGCACCTTAGTACTACGTATAGACAAAAACGCGAAAGAGGACATCCTCATACGTGTAGCAATATGTGTATGTGTACATATCCGTAGTGTGAGTGCATACGTTTCCATATAAATATGCACACGCACATATGCGTGTATCGATATGCACATATATACGTAATATATATACATATATATAATTATACATATATATATATAT